CCATAAATCTTTTGAGGGGGAAAATAACAGAAGATATAAAATTTTCCCTGAGCAAATACATTTTGCTTTTTGGTCACAGAACTTAATGTAATTATTAAGTTCTATTTAAATTATGGTTGTATTATGAAATAAATGATTAAAATTTTAGATTTTATATCTATCTAAAGTTACAAATGCAGCACATTAGCCCAGACAGACACAATTTTTCTAGCAAAACCAGAAATCACGCTTCATTTCAAGTTTCATTAATAGCCAGTAATGCAGGCCAGACTGACATAAATGTAGACAAACCTAGCCCAAGTTTTGAATTTGTGGTTCAGTTTGTTGGAATAAATGAGCTAAACTTGGTTGTTATGTAGAGTCTATCCCAAACTGGGGCAAAAGAGAGCAGTTTTGGCCGAGTTTCATTTGGAGATTTTGGGTTTGTTTCTATTCAAAAACTAAGGCTAAGATTTTAAAGTGAAACTCATGAATTTAGGGTGTCTCAAGTTGGACACCCAAAAATTGAGGTACCCCAAAAAATCACTAGATACTTTTGAAAACCTTAGCCTAGATTTCTATGACATAAAAACAAGGCTATTTGGATCAGCAGTTCTGCAGTTAAAACCACCCTCAGGCCAACAAGGATAATCTCATCTTTACAATAGGACAGACATTATCACAACAACCAACAGTCTCTGGCAACAACACATCAAGAATTTAGCATATAAAGTGATTCAGTCTCATTTTACATAGCACTATAACACATGCAAATATATTAGGTGTACATACCGGTGCATAGGAAGCAATAAACTGCCGTATAAATCCTAAAATTCATAGTGGAGTTGCTTTAGGTACAGAGCCACCCTCTACAGACTCTCTTCTTGCTCCATAACTTTGGCTGGTTTTAGTTTCACTTTCATTTCTCTCAAAGAGGCTGTTGCAATCCCTGTAGGGCGGGATTTCCTGTTCAAACAAACTTCTTAACAGCTGGGCCAAATTCTCTACTCGCATGAACGCCAGGGAAGTCAGTCGAGTTACGCCAGCAGAGAACTTGGCCCACTGAGAGGTAAGAGAGCGGATATAACTGCCAAAGAGGAGCTAAGATTTATTTCTCTGTTGCAAACAAGTGGCAGCAAGTTTAGAGCTGCAGGTTTCGGAGTGGTAGCTGTATTAGTCTGTATCAGCAAAAACAACTAGGAGTCCTTGTGGCACTTTAGAGACTAGAGCTTCTGGATTCCCCCATATTAACAAAGGTTGAGTGAAGTCTCCTTAGCACCAGCTGGGATAAGTACCGTCCCACAGGGAGCAGAGCAGGAGGAAGTACCCTATACAGCCCTAAGGGAAGTCAGGAGAGACTGCTCTGGTGCTACAACGGGCATATCTCAGAGAATACCAGTCCTGCCAACCCCACGTGCTCAAAAATCATAAGATTTAAAGATGACGAAATTTTAAAGATAATAGATGTTTGGTACTTTTTATTTGCCTTCTGGTGTTGCAGCAGTTAAGGTTATGTTTCCAGGTTTCCCCCCTTAACCAGGAGAGCTAGAAACTTAAAAAAAGAGGGAAGGGGCAAAACAAAACAAGCTGAGATTCTGAGCCCACAGCCAATATTGTTTCATTGTTTCCTTGCACTCCCCCCATCTGTTGTCTCTTGTCTGACACTTTGTAGGACTGATGAATGAAATTGTTTTTAATTGTTTACTTTATTCATGGATAAATGGACACAAGTCA